CTAAAGTCCTTGATTCACTTTGAGTTGAGTTTTGTGTAGGGTAAGAGGGAGGGGTTCAATTTCACTTTGCTGCAGATGGATTTCCTGGTTTCCCAGCACCATTTATTGAAGAGGCTCTTTGCTCCCATGTATTTATAGTGCCTTTGTCTAGTGTGAGAGAACTGTGTCTATGTGGTTTCTCTGTGTCTTCTGTCCTGTTTTGTTGGTCTGTCTGTCTGTCTTCATGCCACAACCATGCCGTTTTTGTTACTGTAGCACTGTGGTCTGATTCAGGGATGGGTATTATGATGCCTACTTTGACCCCATTATTGGTGAGGATTGCTTTTGCTGTTCAGGGCCTCTTATTTTTCCAAATAAATTTTATGACATCTTGTTCTAGTTCTATGCAGAACAGCATTGGGGTTTCAATAGGAATTTCATTCAATCTGTACAGTGCTTTTGGCAGTATGGCCATTGTCACAATGGCCCAAGATTAATTCTGCCCACCCAAGAACGTGGGAGATGCCTCGGTCTTCAATGGCCTTCCTCAGTTTCTATCCTTACTGTTCTGTTGTTTGACTGTGGAGGTATCTCACCTCTTTGGTTGAATTAATATGCAAATATTTTATTTTTCTTTCTGAGGCTATTGTGATTGGGGTAGTTTCCCCAATTTTTATTTCAGAGGATTAATCAGAGATCTGTGGGAACACATTTGATTTATGGGTCTTCAGGTTATATCATGCCATTTTACTGAATTCACTTATGAGTTCTAGAAGATTTCCAGTGGAATTTTTTTGATCTTCCAGATATAGAATCATATTGTCAGAAAATAGTGATCGTTTGAGTTCTTCTTTTCCCATTTGTATCCCTTTAATTTTCTTCTCTCTAACTGCTCTGGCTAGCAGTTAGATGAGGAATTGAAATGGTGAAAGAGGGCATCCCTGTGGGGCTCTAGGTTTTAAAGGGAATGCGTTGAATTTTTCTCCATCTGGAATGATGCTGGCCATGGGTTTGGCATAGATGGCTCTAACAGAGTCGAGGTATGTTCTTACCATCCCTAGTTTTCCTAATGTTTTGAGCATGGATTTTGTTAAATGTTTTTTCTGCATCTATCAAGATAATCATATGACTCTTATCTTCAAGTTCATTTGTATGATAAATTATGTTTATTGATTTTCATGTGTTAAACCAACCTTGCATCCCTGGGAGAAACCCCACTTGATCACGGTGCACTATCTTTTAAACATATTTTTGTATGCTATATGCCAGAAATTTTTTTAAAAAATATTTTTCTTTGGTTGTACATAGACACAATGACTTTATTTTTATTCATTTTTTTCTGTGGTGCTGAGGATCAAACTCAGTGCCTCACACATTGCAGGGGAGTAAGTGCTCTACCACTGAACCACAGCCCCAGCCCCTATTTGCCAGAATTTTATTGAGAATTTTTTTATCTGTGTTCATTAGGGATACTGGTGGGAAATTTTCTTTCCTTGTATCTTTTGTCTGGTTTTGGAATCAGGGTGATACTAGCTTCATAGAATGAGTTTGGATGTGTTCCTCTTTTTCTATTTCATATAATAATTTGAGAAAATCAGTGTTAGTTCTGCTATAAAGGTCTCATAGACCTTGGCTGACAGTCTCTCTAGTCCTGGGCTTTTTTTGGTTGTAGCCTTTTGATGGCATCTTGCATTTCATTACTTTAACCTGATGGGTTTAAACCATGTATGTCCTCCGGGTTCAGTTTGGGGAGGTCACATGTCTCTAGTAATTGGTCAATGTCTTCACAATTTTGCATATTATTGGAGTATAAACTTTCAAAACAGTTTCACATTATTTTCTGTATTTCACTAGTGTCCACCATGATATTTCCTTTTGCATCATGAATTTTAGTAATTTTCTCCCCCCATTCTCTTTGTGGGTAATGGTTTCTCAATTTCATTTATTTTTTCAAAGAATCAAATTTTTATTTTGTCAATTTTATTTGTTTTCAAATTGATTGATTTTTTAAAATTCCACAATGATGTGTGGTGTCTGCCATATTTCCTTAGGCATAGTTGTCATCTACCTGTTGTTGAATTGTCTTTTAATATATTTTATTCATTTAAAAATAATTTATCAAGATGAAACTGATAAGAATAAAGCAACATATTTAATGATCAGTTTGTTAGGTCTGCCACATACATACACCCATGGAACCATGACCACAATAAGGACTGTGAAGACTAATTCT